ATGATAAAAGGAATATATTTCACTGACTCCTCCCGCCCCCCACCCTCCCCATTTAGCTGCATGTCACTTTAAAGATGGATGCGGCATGGTTTCCCCAACAGGAAGTGCAGGGAAGCAGGGGAGAAGTGTGGCTACTCCTTTGCAGGCAGTAACAAACTCTTACTTTGCAATCCATTCTGCACAGTTTCCCTTCTTGAACAGTCAGGTCTCCAGGAGCCTGCACAAAGTGAGGTCTGAAGAATCGCTCCTGAATTGGTTCATGTTCATCTCCACTCTCTCTTGATCTTGAACGAGGCCTTCACATAAGAGATGCAGGTAGGGAGAGAGGCAGACAGAGAAGTTATTTTCAGGTTTTTAATCATTTTCTTTTAAGAAAAATCCTGTGAATATAGAAGAGAAGCCACCTACGTCATAACATTCGGGTTGAGATACAGGGAGTCGGGAGGAGGTTGGACCAAACCCAAGGAGGTGCATGTTGGTCCAACATAGAAATGGGGAAACAAGGAGGGGGAGGGAGAAAGGGTGTGTGTGAAAGTGAAATGATGAGGGAGGGAGCAGGGCACTAATCCACCCAGGGGAAGAGCACTGGTCTTGTCGCCACAGAAATGGGAGTGGGCATGCAGACCCCACCACGGTGCACCAAACCATGAGGACAATGTGGTCAAGTGGAAGAATGCATGAAAAAAGAGCTACAGGGCTGGTCCCAAGCAGAGCCAAACTGACCACCTCCCTGGAAGTGGGTGTGGCAGAGAGCAGCACTGAACCTACAGGTTGGGGAGAGGGGCCAGCATGCCACGCCCACACGGAGGCAGGCCAGGAGGGAGGAAGAGAAAGAGAGAGCCAGATTGGACACCCCACTGGCACACCAGACCTGGAAGATGATGTCCCTGCGGGGAGCTAATGGGACACAGAGGGGACTGGGCAACCAACAACAGTACATATCAGGTTGTTACTTTACTGTTGTAGACTGCGACAGAGGACATTTCTGAGGTCACATGGTAGGGAGGCAGTGTGGTCTAAACCCCCCAAAGTGGAGCGAACCAAGAAGGGAGCAAACCAGACCGGCAGCTGGAACAAGGCAGAGCTATGAAGCCCCTGAGGAGCCCCCAAGGGTGCGCTCCAGGCCGGGAGGGGCAGCTCCTGGACAGGCATAAAGGCAAGTGAACAGCCCTGGGGTTTTTGTATATTTCTTCTCTTTTAAAAATTGATATATATTAGTTTGGGCTATGTCACAGTCGGTGTGCCTACCTATATAGGATAGGCACGGGAGGCATGCCCCAGGAGAGAGCAGCGGGACCAACGGTCCCAGGGACACCTGGGAGGTGAGGGCGGTGGGGGAAGGGGGTAGTGAGCTGGTAGTGCCATGGACAGGGAACAACTTGGGTGTTGGAGTCAATAACAAGGAAGAGATAGGGATATGAGGCGGGTGGGGATGTCAGAGCAATAGCAAACTAGCTAAGAGGAGGTACCAAAAGTCGAAATAAAGGGAAAGTGACAGAGGAGCAGGAGGAAGGTAAAAGGAAACAGGAAGGATCTAGGAAGCAAAGCAATGGATAGAGGTATAACTATAATGGTGTACATACGTAAATACATTAATCCACAAAAATAGAGTTATTGACTCATGTGCATATATTTATACAGCAATACACTGAGGTAGGGGGTGGACTTTGGGCCTCTGCTCATACACTCTCCCTCAATACAAGAACACTCTGTTCTAACAAATCGGCAGTCTGAGATGATCACCCTCCCGACACAATCGCTGAAGACAAAATGGGTGCACAAGCAAATGTGGTGAAAAAGGCAGATGGTGCTCAGCTATTAAAAGATATAGCGTCTGGGGTCTTCTAAGCTTGAAGTTACACAAGCCGCCATTCAGCAGTGAAGCAACAAGTCCACACAGAAGAAGCACACCACCGGTACAATCATGAGGAGTCATAGGGACCAGGTAATAGGCATCAGCAGACACATAACAAACAAAAACATATATTGTTGAGAATGAGGGGGGTTGGAGCAGAGCCTCAAAGCCCAGCTGTAGACAATGGAACGATCTCCACATAGAAGGGCCATAGGGAAGGGATGAGTCAACCAGGGTGAGTCAAGCATTGATGAAACACAGTATATACCTCTGGTTCCTTGAGGCTTCCTCACCCCCCACTACCATGACCCCAGTGCTGCTTCTCAATTCAGACGACCGGAACATGTACACAGTTATAGATAAGAGATGGGAGTTCACGGCACACAGGATCCAAGAACAGGAATGGGAATAGTGATACCAGAAGGGTAGGAGGAAGGAAGGGAGAAAGGGGGAACTGATCACAATGATTGACATATAAGCACGCACCCCTCTCCAGGGGGAAGTACAAAAACACGAGGGAAGGGAGACAGCAGTTGGTGTGAGATGAATAACACTGTACAACCTATCAGGGGGTTATGACGGTGGGAGGAAGGGAGGGAGGGGGGAAACATGAGCTGATAACAAGGGCTCAATAGAAAGTAAATGTCTAGAAAAGAATGAAGGCAACATATGTATAAATATGCCCGATTCAATCGATGTATGGATTATAAGTAATAAGAGTTGTATGAGCCCCCAATAAAATGATTAAAAAAAATAAAAAGAAAGCCCCTGTGAAGTTGCTTTTGAATCATACTGATCCTGTAGGGCAGAGTAGAACTGTTCATAGGATTTCCAAGGAGCCCTGGTGGTGTGGTAGATTACTCATAGGCTGCATGTCAGTAGTTCAAAACCACCAGCCACTCCGCAGGAGAAAGATGAGGTTATCTGCTTCAGCAAAGATTTACAGCCCCTACACAGGGTCAATGACGAGTCACAATCGCCTCCAAGGCCCAGTAGCAGGCTGCCATTTCTTTCTCCTACAGAGAAATTGAGGGGGTCCAACCTTTTTGATAGTAGGGGATCTGTCTATCATAATACATGGGTATAATATAGTTTCCATATCTGAAATCCCCATGGTTCACATGGGGCATCACATAAAAAACCAGAAATGCAAAATCATGTTTAATTTGGAAGCTTATTATAAATTTAGCAAGCTACTAGTTGAATATCTTTAAAAAGATATGTAGCTAGTAGAAATCATAGAATGAGCCCTGGTGACTTAGTGGTTACACATTGGGCTGCTAACTGAAGGGTCAGCAGTTCAAAACCAGTAGCTGCTCCTCAGGAAAAAGACAAGACTTTTAACTTCTATAAAGAGTTACAGTTTCAGAAACTCACAGAGGCAGTTCTACCCTGTTCTATAAGGGCACTGTAAGTTGGGAGTGAGTCTGGGTTTGGTTGGAGTAGAAATCATAGAAGAGGAAATGAGAAAATATGGGGTGGAATATTAATATTTTTCCTAAATATTTTTAAATCGATATGAGCAGGAGTTTTGTTGGCATTGTGATTATAGGTTGGGCTGCTAATAACATGGTCAAAGACGAGGGGCTTTCTACCCCATTAAAAGTAACAGTCTCAGAAACCTGCTCTGTGCCACAGGGTCCTGGTGAGTTGAGACTGACTCCATGGGAATGAGTTTTGAGTCTGAGTATATGAGAAGTAGCAATAGCTATTGCTCATGTGCTACCAAATCTTATTCAGCAGAAATTACTATAATTTTCCACTTTGATTTTAAATAAAAAATACAATTATTTAATACTTTTTAATATCGTTTTAATCGAATTTCATTTCCATATTAACCCAGAAAACATTAAATACTAGGATGGTTTCTTTTGCAGCATTATCCATATCCACACATCTTTTGCTTTCAAATAAAATTGTGCAAATCTCTGGATTTTTTATATTTCTCTTTCTTTTAAATACACAGCTAGAGATATCTTTTTTTTTTTTTTTAAATATGGAACGCTTCACGAATTTGCGTGTCATCCTTGCACAGGGGCCATGCTAATCTTCTCTGTATCGTTCCAATTTTTAGTATATGTGCTGCCGAAGCGAGTACGCTAGAGATATCTTAAGAGCAATATAATTCACATAATTTCAAGACAGACTGAAGAGAAGATAATATTGAATGTAAATTCTGTCAGTAATCACTAGAAGACTGATTTTAAAAAAAATATTTTGTTGTGGTTTTTGAAAATATACACAGCAAAGCATACACTAATCCACATATATAAATACACATACATGTATATACTGACTTGGGTGAAAGTTTACTAAGTAAATTGGCTTTTCATTCAACAATTCACATCTTTTTACTTTGAGACGTTGATTACAACCCCCATAATGTCACCTCACATCATTGCTGAAGATTTACTGTTGCCAGTGGCCAAAGACATTGTTTGATTTATGATTAGAGATGAATTTGTTAAAAAATTGAGTGCAATTTCAGAAGCAGAGGAAAGAGCTAGGAGGCAAAAGGCATTTATAGAGGTCTAAATATAGGGATGTACATATGTAAATATATTTATATATCAGGATGGGGAAATAGATTTAGGTGCATATGTTTATAGGTTCAGTATTAAAGTAGCAGGTGGATATTGGGCCTACACTCAAGTACTCCCTCAATGCAAGAATACTTTGTCCTATTAAAGTGGCATTTCATGATGCTCACCTTCCTGACATGATCGCTGAAGACTAAGCGGGTGCATAAGCAAATGTGATGAAGAAAGCTGATGGAGTCTGGCTATCAAAAGATATAGCGTCTAGGGTCTTAAAAAGGCTTGAAGGTAAACAAGCGGCCATCTAGCTGAGAAGCAACAAAGCCCACATGGAAGAAGCACACCAGTCTGTGATTACGAGGTGCGGAAGGGATCAGTTATCAGGCATCAAAGAAAAAAAAAATCTTATCATTGTGTTCACCTCCCAGATACGATTGCTTAAGACAAATGGGGGCATAAGCAAA